AAATTCTATGAACAACTGGTAGAATTGGGCTTCTTGGTCTGGGTTTAAAGATCCTATTTTCAGTGCAATTTTGGTAAGGGGAGAACTATTTATCACCTGATTTTTAGGGTAGGAGGGAGGGTCAGAAAAATATCAGGTCCTAATATAATAATAGCTTTTAATTGGTTAAAATTATTAAAAGTATAAAAAATTTTGACATTAATACTAGATAACTTTTGACCCAGCGGTCCATTTTGGATAATTTTATCACCAAAATATCCATCTCAGTAAGACGATTCTAACAAGCCCAAAATCATCAAAATCCAATCACAGGATCCCGAGATCAGAATAGATTTGTATTACTTTATATATATATTTACAAAAATTTTATATCAAACCAGTGATGCTAAACACCACTTGTTAATATATATAATCATCATTTATCAAATTAACTATACTAGTGGTGCTAAACACCACTTGTTTACATATATGATTGTTATTTACAAATTAATTATTTAATTATAATGTAATCAGATCAGATCTGTTAATCCTTTTGCACCTGACTTTTTCTCTAGAACTAGGATTAAAAAAAGATTATTGTGATTTGTAATGAACAACTTAACAAATATTAACGATACAGAACTCCCTTTATTCCTTTCATTATTTGATACTAAAGATAGTCATGACAATTTCGCTGATACCTGTGAATCCAAAGACTATTTTAGTCATTCGAATATATCAGTCACACAATATGTCACATGTAATTTTTATTTTTATTTTTTAATATTAGAGTGTAGCTTCTGCCCTAGATTTTTATTAATACTTAAGCAATTGACATATGGTGGTGCCGAAATACATACATATTACTAGGACTAGGACTTTAGGTCTAAGACCATTTATCCATGGCTAAAACCTACCAGAGCCGACAACACTCCCACACATGTGATTGATCTGGATTTTATACATCCCTCCCCAACCGCCAATTAGTATTCACATGTCCGCCACTTTACCCACATACCTAATATCTTAACTTCCAAATTGGTGTGTACCAGATGGGCATTTATTGCTCCCAGTTTGGTGTGCCTGACCCCAACTAGCGTACTTCCAGGAGTTCGTATCTCAAGCCATGCAGCTGCCTCTACCCAATTGGGTAAGTATCTCAAGCCTGCATGCTGCCGTAACTAGCTGGTTTTCTGCGACTTTGAGACTCAGGTTTTAACGTTTCGAATTCGGTAATGTGCGAAAGACTGTACTTCCCAATATGGTGACAAGGCTTGTCTAGGCATGTTTCACAAATGCTTCCAGTACTCGATATAGTTGGATGGGATCATGAGGCCTAGGGGTTCTTAACAGGTGCGTTATCATTTTCTATTTATGGTGATTTTCAGCAGTTGTAGCCCCAGTTACTACTACATTCACTTATACTAGCTATACCTGTATTGGTAGTTCTGAGTCTTCTTAATATTTGAAAACTCCCATACGGGTACGACCAGAGCCTGTTAGGTCGGATACATCTATGTACCCACCACTCAAAATAGAAATGATCGTCATTGTTTATATATTTTCAATATTTATATTGTTTTTTAAAAAAAATACTATCATTAATGATAGGGTTAAGGTTAGGATAAGGTTAGCGATTTAAAAAAACAAAAATATACTAAAATTTCACAAGAAAATTTTTTTGTTAGAACACAGAAATTAGTTTCATAAGAGAAATTTCAAGATAAAGGCAATTTTTTAAAAAAACGTTGGATTTTTTAATTTTAATATTACACACTGATCGTTCATGTAAATTCGACGTGATGAACACTGATTGGATAAAAAGTGTGATTTTCAAATCGGGTGGTGGATACATAAATGTACCCCTGTTAGGTCTATCAACATGTACACGCCTCCATGCTTCAACTTCTTATTGGTTGGTGAGTTTCGTATGTGCAGAGGTGTTTTAAATCTGGTAAGACCAATTCTTTATCACAAGTCCCTTTGTGTTTATCACATTTCTCACCACTTTCCAATTCTAGTTACTGCCCGGTCATCCTCCCAAACAAGATCCCCAATGCTGCCTTAGGGGTTGTTGGTGCTACCTTGCCAATCATGGATTTATACACACAACCTTTGTGTAATAGAACCTTCTATAACAACCACTATTACACATAGTGCCAACTACTCCATAATGGACCTCCTTCCAGAAATTCCCAATCCAAACCTGTATTCACTTGGACTTATTACGGCAGATACTTCCAAATATTCATAGATAAATGTACCTACTAGGACTTGAACCCGAAACCCACTCGTGGAGGGTTGGGTGCCTAGACCACTAGGCCGTGGGATCCCAACCCCAATAATTTAAATATATTAAATTGCACAAGTATAAATTTTATTAATTTAAAGTATTTTTATCGATATTACAATAATTTAATTAATGTTTTTGTAAAGTTCTATGCACTATAGTCTTCTTGTTTTTTCAGTGTCAATTAAATCACAACCATGTGAATTTCATAGAATAAGTTTTATTTGTCTCACAATTGTTATAATATAATTGTAAAAATTTTACTTTTATAAGCATAATTTTAACCTTTTATATATTTATTACTTTAAATTAAAATATTAAGTATATAAATATCGAATGTTTTTTATAATAATAGAATAATTTACAATAATCTATATTTGTTTAATTTACTTAATTGGAGATCAATTGTTTTTAAGCAGATTAATTATTTCACATATTCTAGATATAGTAATATAAAGTCTAAAAGTATAATAGTTTGATAGAGTTAATCCATTTAAAGTAATTGGATTAAATCACATTGTTTAAGCTAATCCAAAATTATTTTAAAGCAATGATAGTTTTTAAAGTAATTGGATTATTTTGTATTGTTTAAGCTAATCCTAATTTATTTTAAATCTATCTAAATTGTTATTTAAAATAATCAAAGTAATTCGCATTGTTTAAGCTAATTCTAATTTATTTTGAAATGATTATTTATAGAAATTGAATTAATTCACATTGTTTAAACTAATCCTAATTTATTTTAAAACTATTGGGAGTTATTAAAATTTATTATAGAGACCAAACCAATAGCATTTAAAATTGCAATAAATCAATATATGCAAATATATTTAATATAATAAATTTGATATAATTAAATAAAAAAATTACTTCAAATTAATTTCAATACTTTGAACTTCAAATAACAAAAGCAATAATAATAAAACTGATTACTTTAGTAAATTTATATATATTTAAAAATAATCAAAGATAATAATTTTAATATTATCTTGCTGCATTGCGAAATAATTTAATTACATTAAAATAATTTTGAAAAGCTTTAAATAAATTCACTTTAGCTATTTTCCTCTTTGTAGTTTTCCAATCAATCTTATATTTGCTATACTTATCTTATTTAATTTACTTTTTTTCTTGTCAATTCCAATCTATCTGCTTTACCAAATTAATAATTTATTTTATTTTTACTCCTTCGCCTTTCTATAAGCTTTTATCATTATTTTTATATTACTTTATCATTTCCTTATATATTATCAATTATTTTGCACTATTTCAAATTTATTTTATTTTATTTTAATTTTTCTTTCTTTTGCTTTTTCTTTTATTTTACTTTTATTTTATTTTTTTATTTTATTTTTTATTTTATATTTTTTACTATTATTATTATATATTACTTATACAAATAGCCCTGAATAAATCTAAATTTTATTCAACTTGTAACACCAACAGGCATGCACTGTTCACAGAAATGACTCCTGATAAAAAAGTAGCTACTGTTGTTACTAAAAGGCCAACTCCACAATATATTGATCCAGTTGAAACTATTTTACAATATTCTTCAAGACCTTCTGATGGTTAATTTTAAATAATATATATTTTTTTATTTTTTATTTATTTATTTTTAATCTATATTACATTTTAAAATAATTTAAGATCAAATTACGTTGGCTTCTATTAATAACTTGCTTCTTAATTTAACTGAAGAAGTTGCTAAATTAAATAAAAAATTTTTGGGTTTAGATAGATGTATATCAGAAGGTCTTAAACTTAAAAATGAAGAAAATTTTATTAAAGTAATTATTTTTTAATAATAATGTTTTTATTTAATTTAATTTAAGCTAATATATTTTATTTTATTAGCAAACATGTTTAGCAATCACTAAAAGGTTAATTGTTAAAAATATTTATCTGATATTAGATGAATTAAAGAAGGCTGCAGAGAAATACCTTGTAGAATTCAAGTGTGATTTTTATGAAGGCATGAAAACTAGAGAGTGGAATACATATTATAAAAAAATCTTGCTAGTCCAGTAAATGTTTTAAATTATTTGAAATATTTTGCATTTACTCTAATTAATACAATTTCATTGAATATAAATTAATCTATTTTTTTTTCAAATTTAATTTAATTTTTATGTTTTATTTATTTTTTAATTTTTTTGATTTTATGTTATTTATTTCAAACTAATTCATATTATTATTTTACTTTCTAATTAATTTATTTTGTATTAGCTTTTAGCTGCACATCACTCATGTCATAGCAGACTTGTGACTAAAATTAAAGATTTTGTCTTTTTTGTATTTGGTCAAGCCTAACTAGATAGAATAAAATCAAATATCATGTCTAAAGTAATTTTAGATTAGAAAGATTCAGATAAAACTTATTAATATTACAAAAAATTATTTACTTTAATCAATGCTTCTAATCCTAATGATACCTACTTTACCCAAATACTTTCAAATGCTTGGTCTAATACAACTCTCACACAAATACAATTGATATATATAATAACTATATGCCAAATAATGCTTAACTCTTTTTATGAAAAATTTAATATGGAGGATGATATAGTAATATTTCGAATAAATAGAAATTTAGTAAGTTAAATTAATTAATATTTTTGTTACTTCTAAATTAATTTAATTTAATTTAATTTTTGTATATTTCTTTAATAAGAATAATTTAGCAAATAGTATTGTATATCTCTTGCTAGTCACAGACGATAAAGATACTATGCCAGAAGATGATCTAGCTGAAGTTGTGACTCATAAAACTAAAAGAGTAGAAAAAGAATTAGATTACAAGCATCTTCTAGCTCATATAAAAAGAGTAAAAGTGTAGTTGCTATACAAACACCTATATTTATCTCAATTCCCTTTATAGATCACATTCTCCTGCAATATTATATGATAAAACTCCTTCTCCTAATATAAGCCAAACTGATCCAAAAGAAAGTATCTCAGCCACATCATATCGGCGATGAATTACATGTTCTCATGATAGTAGCCAATAATTATAATTTTCAAATAATTGAATTTAACTATAAAATAATAGATAGACGTAACTTTAAGTATTGGTTGGTTATAACAGTTGTGTGTGAGTATGGGGCAGATAATACATATTTTAAATAATACTTTTATATAATGTTTCTATATGATTTTGGTTTTTTTTAATTTACTTAATATATTCTTATTTTGCATTTAATTAATTTTATTAATATAATATTATCATATATATTTTATAATATCTATTTAAATTTTAAATAATTCGAAATATTTTGAATTAATTCGAAAAAATTGAGTTTGAAATTTATTTAAGTAATTCAAAACAGTTCAAATTAAGTTGAATTAATTGATTTTGATTTATTTTATTTTATTTTTTTATTATTATTTTTTTTAATATTAAGGTGACTACTTAGGCCCTTGGCACTTTATTAGTACAAGCGGTAGGCCAATGTTAATTTTAG